GAAAAATTGGATTTTTCATATGTTTTACTATTGATCGACAAATTTCGGCCAATACTTTTTGGTAGTGAGTGTAGTTAGCGGAACAAGCACAAGGTCCTAATTTTCAAACATGTGATGAGGCTTGACAGTCGATCATGTGCCCGATAAATAATGCGTAGCGGTAGCGATTATCTCACACAAAGTATAATAATTCAGCTACCAGGGCCACCTTTATTGATAGTATAAAACATACGATAAAATATGGGATAGAAATATGGTTATTCTAAAAATTTGAGCTCTTTTTCTTGTTTAATATACCAACTTCACGTGGAGGGGCTTATATCACTCGTTTTTCTCGATCTTTTTTTAAAACTGTTCACAATACTCTGTAAATTTACAATAACTCCATTCTGAGGTCATAGATCATTAGGTGTAAGTAACATAATACGACGAATATATAGTTGAAAGAATACTCACTCGCAAAGTCAATAGGGCGTGAACAAACTCTTCTACCTCCTCAACCGATTCATCACGCAAAGGTATTTTCGCTTTAACGACTGGGAGATGATATTTCACCCCTTTTTCCTTTATCAATCCATGGATCTCAATATACTTACCTGCAATATTAACACCAAATCCTATATAACTTTGGTAAAAGGTTTCTTTTGAACACCTTCTCACAAGCTCTTTAGTTCCATCCAAACAGAGTTGCACTAATTTATTATGGTCGTGACAAATCTTATCTTCATTGGCATCCCACTTCCTACTTTCGAAGAACACAACTTTTTCCCATTTTTGACGAAGGTGGGCACGGAACATAAGATCGGGTTTCTCGATCCACTTTTTTGCTGAGCTTTGCGATGTTTACTAGCTGTGCTTTGACGTTCGGCCCTAGTAACTTCGACCTCATAATCCACAGGTAAGTGATATGTAGCCATGTCTATCAAACAAGCGATAATTTCCACTAGTGTGCTTTCTGAACCTCTGGAAACTCTTCGGAGTGCATTCAACTTAATTTTTTGCAAAAGAACATCAGTAATTCCGCTTGCTATGCGTTCCTTAATGTGGTCGTCCTCAACCTATTGATCGTGTGTCACTACGTCCCTCGAAGGCAATACAAATTTCCGCAATTTCTGAACGTCGTTCCTCTTTGATATAAAATCGTTACATATATTCTTTACCACGACATCTTTGCTCAAATTTCTTATATTAGCCTTCTCACCCTATTAAGATTAATAGATGATAAGCAATTATCTTTAGCCGTGCCAACTCCGCTAATACAAGACCCATACAAAAGTCTTATCTGTTACTCCGATCTCAGAACCAATAACGTTCACTTCGTAAAGAAAAATATACGTACAACAAGAGATTCGTAATCACTCTCCGGAATATTATATTTGTCTGAACTAAGATCGATTACTCCAATACATAATGGGTCGTCGTTTGATAATGTATGTGTTGATCAAACATCTATATTACGCAATCAATAGTAACAATCAGGGGTACTCCAACAATTAGTAGGTCACGCATTAACTCTGCTGACAAATTATTTGCCGTATCCGGTTGTGAAATCAGTACTGAATGAGTGGGAGTGGATTTTATCAATTGATTTGTAATAATTGTTAAAATTGGTGATATGGATAACAGAAGTCCGATTGCTGATATTAATATGGCAAGTCATTGATCTAATTAACACGTAAAGCGTGGGGGCACCCATGACTCTTATTTTGAAAAAAAGGTACTTACGTACCTGAGTCGTCCCTATAGACCTACTTTACAATAAACAATTTCTCGTCCTTTCCCGTCCAATCTGATCTGAGATTTTTTATATAAAAAGGCGGAGAAAAAATATCTGAAACTCCTTTACTCCTTCGTTAAAATAATTAACGAATAAAACGTTTAACAAATTTTAGCCTTGCGAGCTCCGCTAATAAATCTTACCCGTGATAAACAAAGAGATTCATACACTCGAAATAATATCTAATTTCTAACGATTCTCCCCCGCATTCGTGTATGTATGCTAATATGACTTATAGATGACATCACTTGTTCACTCCATTTTTGGATTTCGCAGGTCTATCGATGTTTGTCATTTACTTGCTCATTGGTGCCACGTTTTATTTTTCACGTATCACCAAGAAAGACATGGACATCAAGCATAATTCCGACCCTTCTGCACGTGATACATTTAATGAATTCTTGCCAATCGCCGATACACTGGACAGTTTGAAACGCTAGTCTCTTGGTTTCGGCTACGAATGGAAAAAAGAGTTATATATTGATGGAATATATACGGTATACCAGAGATAAATAGACTTGCCCATCTTTAACGTATTCAGAATAGTATTAATGACTTCTACATCAGTCAGCTGAACTAGACCCTTTTCTGCGGAAGAGATGCCAGGTTCTTAACCGAACTCACCGATTACCGTGCCAAATTTAACGCTGAACTCGCCTCACGCGATGGAAACTTAGAATCTTGATAATGCTAAATACTTCTACTGCGAGACTTGATGAGATTGAACAAGTTCTTCAAAACTACCATAACAATTTTGGTAGAGTCGCAACCGAATTCGAATCAATCAATAGATCTATCACAATTCTCCAAACCGAAGTTAATCAACGACACTTCCTTGTCCAAAGTACTAATAGGAGAGGATCGGACCAGCAAATCGAGGCTTTATCGTCTTCTGCTCGTTTATTAAATTCCTCAACCTCAAGCCAAAAATTCGCGAATATTATTTCTACAATCCGGGAACAGTTAAAGGCTATCTTTGCTAGAGTTATGGATGCGGGTGGTTATACTTTAGATCAGATGTGTAATGTTGTATCGGCTGATGTTCTTAGGCTTGGGATGGGAGCAATTGGAAAAGATACAATAAAGGGTTTTCACAATGGGAATAGCATAAAAAGCGAAAACTTAGAAGAGATAGGTGCTTGGATAGATAGTCTTTTACACACTACTGAGTAGCAGGGAAGGAACTGCCATTATATGGGGTTAGGGCTCGGCAGGTTTAACAAGCAGGTGTTTTTATGCCTTTCCTCCCTTGAAACACCCTGCTACTCTATATTTTTTACTTAGCCGACCTCTAACTCTCTCAATATATTCATTTTAATGGTTTTAATTATTATATACTGAGTGTCGCTGGCTATTATTATTTTTTTCTTGGCAAAAGTGATCAGCGTGACTTCTTTAACTTTTTGGTCACACACTCAGATTATTTCTACACAAGATAGACAAATCCGAAATATTTTTTCTTGTAATACTCCAAAATAGATTCCACCTGCCCGAAATAGATTATGCGATGATTATTCACATGTTAAAAATCATAATATATCCACAGTACACGAGCGATTTATACATAAATATTATCACAAATGGGTTATTTAGAATCAACTCTCCCATTCTCATCGTATATATCACTCGCAAAATATGATTATTATAATACTCTCGAAGAGATGGTCCAAGAACCCAATCGCACAAAATTGAATCGCATATTCATATTGTATAAAGTTATTAAATCTAATAGGTCTAAATCCCTAAATACGATATAATTACATAATCTCGTTAAATATGTCTGGTTTTGATATCGCTACTATTATTGATAAAAAAGATAAAACACTTCCTAAACCATATATTAATCGTCCTGGTTTTGATATGAAGTATGCTGTATCATATATATATTACGTTATGGTGGAACTTATGCTAATAAACTCAATCAAATTTTCGATAATGAGAGATTATTTGACACTTTATCTACCATAAAACAGAA